TTTGGTGAGTTTTTGAGCATGTTTATTCCCTCAAAATCACGTTTCATCACAGTCCTGCCCGGAGCAGGTTTGCCCCACACCCCGCCGTGCGCAAAGGCCGACAAGCGTAGGGCGAGGACCCATCCATCGCCGCTTGCGGCTTTAATTCATCTTAGAACCAGAGTGCAGAAGTTACACATGGTGGACAATGCATCTTGTGGCTACTTTAATCAGCTGGTCCTCAGATAGTAAACCCGCCAAGAAAGAAAATAATCAATTTTCATGCCTATGCTAAAGTCTTTGTTACACTTGATAAATGTTTGTCCAGTAAATATGAAGCTTCCACCTCCAGCTGGGGACTAGCAGCTTTCTTTGCTGGTTAATGGAAGAGCTTTCCAGGACAAAATTTCCCTCTGGAATCCTGAATTGTCATTTTTACAGGTGCAGATTAAACAATATGTCCTGATTAGAAAACATCAGATGTGTTAGTAAGCCGATTTTGTCACCTTGGAACAGCAGGCCAGCTGTTTCAAGTCTTAGCGGCTGCTTGCTCCAGTCGCACGCTGACCAAAGAGACATGACTCAGATAATTCAGCGACAAAGCAAACTGTTGAACTATTCCTTTATTGACTCACCTTTAGATATTCAATCAAGAGTTAGTCTAAGCTAATATTTTATGTCAGCTGAAAACATATTGTCATTTTGGTGCATCTTGTGAGCTCAGTTTTCAATACAGAAAAACAGCTACTTGAGCGATTTTGATGGGATGCTGCAGGAAAAGCGGTGCGTGCACAATCTGATGAATCTTGAGACGCATCATTCATCACTTTCGCTCAAGTCACAAACCATTCAGCTCACAATTAAGCTTCCCAGTCTTTGTATCCTATTTTCCACATGGGCATTTCGTCCACAGCTAATTGCACAGTAAATGGAAATGTATCACTGCGACGCAACTCTTTTGTGTCTCTTTGTGTGTAAAAAATAAACAAGCAGGAATCTGCCATTACTGTGGAACTGGGCCGTTAGTGTTTTTTGTTGCGCATGACGTGAGCAGAGCCAACAACACTCCTGGTTGTGGATATTGAGACGAGCACAAAGTGGAATTCAGAGCAACTACTGTAACATGATAACATCAGTGGGGAAAGATAGTCGAAAGCAAAGGAACTATGATGCTTAACAAAAGAACAACCTTCAAAAACAAAGGCTAATATCGATCTTCATCGCCTTCTTTCAGGGTTATCCTCTGGAATACTAGTGAGCTACATGCCTCAGCTTCAGACCGAGGAAGGCGGGATACAGAACACATCCCGCACTAATATATGTTTCACGACTGAGAAGAAGCAACATAAATCAACATACATTTAAAGAAAACAAAGCGACCATGCCATTTTCACAGATATGTTTTTATTTGTCAAACTGAAAGAGCTTTTGTTTGAAGCAATGTCTTTTTTTTGTTTTTTTTTTGGACTGTACACAGTTTCTCACTCTCCTCTGCAGGCTTGAACCTAACCAGTATTATAATAGGTACGTTTTCTAGATAGTGGTTGACACTCAGACTGAGGAGGTAAGAAATAATATGTGAACAGTTGACGTACAAATACAAAGACAGGATGAGGTTCCACTTTTCTCCCTTTTGGGCTTGTGAGATGAAGTTTTACAATGCACAAGACAACTGATGGTGAGTACAAAGTAAAGGCTATTAGATCTTTATGATATGCAAGAACATAATGTGCCTGTGGACATCTTTGTTATATTGTACTGTTCAAACTCATACATCATGCAAACTTCCTCAAAGCTTTGTAGCAGGCCCGCTCCGTGATAAATGCTCACAGGAAGCTAACTACAAAGATCAATCAGAGCAGTTGCTGGCCAAGATACAGCTATTTGGCAATAAAGAATTACAGTCAAGATTTAAGAAGACAAAAAAAATCAGTGAGGAATAATCTATTTAATCTTATCCTGTGTCCATGAACCTACGGAGTGACGGTCACTGATTCACACCAATAACAATTTTCACATACTGGCAATGTACAGCAAAGTCTTTCAGTGTGACGAGTAATGTTTTCTAAAACATCCCTACCTTAAGACACGTCAGGGCCGTTATAGTATATTATATCATCTACTGTGCATCACGTTGCATTTTGCCGAACCAGACCACTACTGGCTTTGCTCAGTTCCAGCTATCCAGGTAATCAAAAACACCATTTTGCTTTTGTTTGCAGACTTAATCGGGTTATTTGTCAGCTTCCAACAAGACTCACGCTGGTGGCGCGACAGCATAAAATGTAGCAAGACGTTTCCTTGCTGTGCTTTTCATAATTTTGAATGTAGGATTAAGTCCAAGAGTGTTTGATTCCATTTTTTTTTTTTTTCTTTTTTTGTTTATTCATTAAATATAAAACGAGATGAAAATAATAGTGGCACCCTTGTATGTCCAATCCTGTCAGGCAATCAAGACTAGTGAGAAAGGCTGATGCTTTAAATAAAACTGTTTTCCCGTTAATGTCCTGCTCTTTCAGGCTGTGCTGCAATCTCACGACAAATAAATTGTATTCCAAAAAAAACCATGAAATGATTGGTTTGTTAAGGGACTGTAAGCTGACAAGTCTTAAGTGAAATGTGAAGCATAAAACGTGGCTCCTTTCAGGTCTTATTATAGCACTCAAGAGCTTTGGGATAACTAGTCAAGAGTGGAAACCACTAGAGTAATCCAGGCCTATTTTTAAGTCGTGCGGAATGGCCTATAAGTTTCAACACTGCTACGATACCTCAGACCTTGTTTACTTTCATTTATTTAACCAGTCGAGCATCACTGTTCATTTAGCGCAACCAACAGCAGCGACATTACAGTGAAAACTGCATGAACACGACGTTTGGCTCTGATTGGCATTACAGCATCTTTATCCCCCGTAACCTCAAGGTTTCTTATAACATCATTTCAACACGCAGAGAGCTGCTGTCACGTCATGTGGAAATACCTACACGCCATTTAACATTTCATTAGTAGACATTTTGAATCCAGTATGACAATAACGACTGATTACCCTGAAATGAAAACACTTCCCATATTTAATCCAGAGTTGTGTACCGTTACCATGGCTCATCATCACTGTAGGTTTGACATATTTATATATATATATATTATATATATATTAGTAATATTGGACATTTGCTCTTTTCTGCAACCACAGAAATTACTTAAAGTTTATCAATTATTACATCAAATCGCTTTCAGCAATTGAATAATGTATACTGTATGATTTAAATAATTGCTTTCACTCGTCTGATGTTTTCTTTAAATAATAATATTACACAGAAAATCTTTATAGGTGGCCTAAAATTACACATTGTGGGTTATTATGACTGACATCTATCCTGAGCTTTTTAATTGATTCAACTGAGATCTCCAAGACAACACGAGGACATTAAACACAGATTGTATGAGTCTGACAGCTGAGACAAAAAAATAAAAAAATCTAAATAAATACAAAAAAAAGAACAAGCACAAACAATATTACCAAATATCTTAGAAAAAGTCTAGCGATAATCAAATAGTTACAAATAATAATAATAATCATAAAAATAAAAAAAAAAGGAAACTCCTTATGAGAGCTTTAAAACATTTGGACTAGATAGAGCCTATAAGCCTCAGTGTCAGTGCTGCAGTACCACTTCCAACTGCAGTGCTTGTTTATTGTCTCACATATCAGTCATCTTTAATAAGCTTTTGCAGTGGGTTGTAATGTTTCAGAACTATTTAAAAATGCACATAAAAATAGGTCCCTAAATCAAAGCCATTTGCTCTCAGGGCTGGAGATTTTAAATGATTTGTCATAATATACATTTATAATTCACGCACCATGCAATTTCTTAAGTCTTTTACATATAATACAAGAGCATTAATAGTGTTTCGATTTGATGGAGTAATGCCAGTGTCCATTAGAGTAAAAGCATGGCTTGAGGAGGTGCAGTAATCAAAGTAAAAATATATTTGATAATGTGATAAAATGTCATCTCTACGTGGTATTTTCGACAGTTTAGTCATGGGATGAAGTTGGTTAATCATGTCCAATGAAGCACGACAGACAGATTTCACATCTTTGTTAAAAAGTGACACTGTACAATAGCTTCCATGGCAACAAGGTAAAACCACAGTGAGACCCCCTTTCTGACTCCGCTCCCCAATCCCACCCCCTCCGATATATATATTATAGAAGTTCATTCCAAACAGGATGGCAAATCTTGAGAAGAATAAAAAGACAAAGATCACGCTTTAAATAGGAAACGAAAAGACAAAAGTGGAACGGGGAAGGAAAGGGGAGAGGGGGGGGCAGGTTTTTAAATCATTGTACAAAAGAACAAACAGCAACCCACCACAACCAAACACTTATTCTTGAAAAATCCATTGGAAATTGATTTCTTTTTACAGGTTGCACAGTTTGTTTCTGAAGCACTGCGTGAGATACTCCAGTATGCCAAGGGACGGGGGGGATGATGGCGAGAAAGATGGAGGTAAAGGACTTCACTCTTCCTCTGTGCATCCCAGTATTTCTACGCGCAAAGTGATCCTGCCGTACCATGACCAGGGGAGGATCCGGACGAGCCGAGCGTAGATGGGCGGGTCTATCACGTTCTTTCTGTGCGTGTCGTTGTCAAAGTTCCCCTGGAACACCTGCAATGACGGCAACATGGAGGAATTAGTCGCTGATTGTTATTTCACACGACAAAAACTGGAGTCTGGAGTCAGATTTGTGTGTTTATCTGGATTTTCTTACCAACAACAAACCACCCTGGAAACCATTAATCTCTCTTTTTTTCAATGCTCATATTCAAGGGTTTAAAGACTTTCGCAGTCAGCATATGCAAAAAGTATTCTCAGTGAAAACCCACAAAAAAAACAAATCTGATGAATTTTCATGATGAGGAGGGAGGTACAGAACATTCTTGGTGCATTTCTTACATGATTTCTCCAGACTGTTACCTTGAAGCCCTTCTGCCTAAACCGGCGCTGAATGAAGCGCAGCCAATCAGAGCTTCGATTCAAACGCTGCCAGAAAGAGAACAATCCCTGAACTCAGTCCTATTCTTGGTATTTTTTTTTTCTTTTTTTTTATGCGCCACACATGCGAGCGCATCAACAGTTATCCTCTGGGGAAGACTGCGCATTGTTAAAGTGGCACAGCTGGAGGCAACACCTTCACAATTAGAGAAAAACATCAGCTGCTGTTCCTCCTGCTTCCTGAATGGTGTTAATAACACGCACCTCAGGTTCGCTGGTCTTGTTGTCTCTTGGTTTTGTTGAAGGAAAAGGGCTTTGGGGGGTGATGCCAGAAATATTGCTATGAAAGGAAAGCTCTGTTTCTCCGGCGCTGGCTCCACAAAACATATTGTGCTACAGACTAATTCTGGACCAGCACGCCCACGCTCATCATATAGCCACTATTATATCAGTGGCTGAGAGGACTGGAAGTATAATTGTAAATACTATCTGCTAGACATCGGAGTTGTCGAGAGATTCCAGTTTATGCAGCACTTAAAAATCAATTCAAATAACAATTAAGATCCTTGAGATGAATCCTGAAACAGTTCAAGGGCTGACCAGCTACCACATGCAAACAAGCGTAATTGTGAATCTGGGACGCGTGCTCGTTATTAGAAACTGTAACGTGTGCTTAAAAGACAGCAGAAAAATATATATACATACTGGGAGGAGATGTATCTACAGGCAGCGCTTCATTGAAGGATATTATCATTTCAATTAAAGGGATATGATTATGCTTGTATAATTGGTATGTAATGGGATTCAGTGTTGTGCGGAATGGAAAATCAGTGGAGTACACCCAAGCAGGTGCTGGAAACAGGGATTGACATCTTTTTGAGTACATTTTCGACTAATTTTTCTTTGAAATATTTACCGTAGCATGAATAATTTTGGATGCAACTGTTTAGATTGTGTGTGGTTGGGCAAAAAAAATACTCTCAAACTGTACAGTACATCCTTAAATATAAGATCAGAGAAGAGATTTAAGTGTAAGTAACAGTTTCTGAGTGTCCAAATTGTCAGCTATGATTTATGAAAACATACTGCTGGGTAGGCAAAGTACTTTCTCATTCACTGGTATTGCAGCATCATGAAAAAAATAACCAAAGTAATAATCAGAGTAAAGCAGGTAAATTACACATTCAGTACAAATATGCTTGCAAGCTTCAGGCTCATTCATAATAGGCAAGAGGGAAGTGCTGCTCTGAATACTGCAAAAAAAATAAAACTTAAGTCAGACTGTGTAATGTTTAAAAAATATATATTTTTAAAAGAACATGATATAAAAAACCCTAAAATCAGAGGAAAAATCCACCTGACACACTGATCCTTCTATAAAAGCTCAACTAATCAATCAACTGTCTTCAGATTGAACTTTATTGGAGCTAAAATACGAATCTCATGGCATTGTTTTTATTTTAATGTGGTTTCTGTCACGGAGAAAGCCACACAATATTTAGGCTATTTGGGATTATTTAGAAGTATATAATAGCTTCGATGCTCCAATTAGTATTTTTTAATGCTCTGACGTGTTTTTAGGCTATTTAGTGTAATGTTAGTGCTCATAAATACCTGGAACATTTAAATGGTAAATTCCCATCCTGGTCCAATTTTTTAAATATTAAATAATAAAGCACACAGCTGTAGGCGTTGGATACTGTGCTGCTTGTATTGTAGATGTCAGATACTCGCACGGAACTAACTGTCCCTGATCAATATGCAATAACGTGACAATCAATCACACCTCTGCCCTCACATCCACATGTATTTAATTCTTTATTTCTGTCATTATCAGGGTTTCTCTGAGTTCATCTTACTGAGAACTAAAGCTGAAATCATGTGACAGATGAGCTCTTTCATTTCTTTCCTTATTTCACATGTGTAACACAAATGGATTCAGATCACCTATTCATCCTACATTCTTTTTCATCATTTTCCTTCTGCAGTGAAGCCCATTCTCTCTCCTGTCCTTCTCCTCTACGCAGAGCTTATAGCGCAGCCAGACAAGGTTTGCATCTGCAGACGAGCAAACAGCACGACACCACGTCCTCTTTTTTCCGTAAAGCTTTTTCCATATGTGCTTAAGAGAAACAAACATACAACATATTTCAGGTTTCCTGCAGCTGCAGTGTTTTGAGTCTGTATCTGAATGTGATCACTTTTCTGTTCCTCTGCCTTCTTGTCTTCTTGAGCGAGCGCAAAACAAATCGATCAGGTGCGATACTTTAGGTAACCAGCTGATGAGTTTCGGGATGATAATGTACCAAATGTTACGGAGTAATGTGAACACATTTTCAGATAGCCTCTGGCAATTCAACAATACAAGGAGAAACATAACTGAATTTTAGAGAGCATTTTAAATTAACTTTTCTGAACTCTTTGTTCCCACCCTGCCTATTTGTGTCTCTTTTAATTACCAAGAGCAAAAAATATGGTGTTGAACAAGCGTGTCTAAATACAACGGTTTGCATTTGTGTTCTGGCACATCAAACACATAAATTATCATTTTCCAACAAGGCGGTTTGGGAGCTGGTGCTTGGAAGTTAAACCAGTACTTTGCACCTTAAAAGCCAAAGAACCAGCTGAAAAAGTGGTTCCAGAGTGACGCCAACGCTTCGCTGGTCTATAAACCAGGAACTGTAAGCTCGGGGAGTGCAATTTAAAAAAAAAAAAAACAGCCTCATTCGAAGAAGAAAAAGAAAAACTAGAGCATCAGTATAGACATGAAACGGAAGCTGCATCACGTGGAAAGTCGATGAGGTCATTACTCATCTCATTTCTCTGCCGTTTGATGTTTTAAGATCAGCAGCTGGCGTTTATACACGACGTTGCTGCAAATGCCGGCGCATAGAGCCGCATTCACAAACACGGAGCGCTGTTTGGTGTATATAAATGCCGACTGCCGGTATTAAGACTCTGAATGGCAGGTAAAATGAGACGAACAATGACCTCATCAGCTTTTCCTGGAGCAGTCGTCGGCAGAAGTTTGGAATAAAATCTTAAAACCGGTGTTCAAACAGACGTAATGACGTTTCCCTACGGTGGCTCCATTCTGAAACAGCGCCAGCCCAGAGCTAAAACTTGGTTTGCACTGGTGGAAAAGGGGCACATATGGACTATTATGGCCTTGCTACCAGCAGTCCAGCCCATTATCAGCACCAACAGCAAGACATCACATGGTTTCAGATCATCTCAGTATCTTTGAGGTTACCTACCCAGCCTTACACTTGTTTTACCATTTTTGTTTTTTTTTTATAGTATTTCCCAGCTGCACATTGCTTACATTGATATAACTAAATGTAGGATAAAGCAAGTCATCACAGGCCACAACACTCTCTAAAGCGTTCCGTTTGATTCTTCTTTTCAACCTTCATAGTATTTTATAACAGCAACATCTGACAATGGGAAGAGAGAAATGTGTCAGTTGCAGGAGCCTTTTCATGACTGAAATGTGACAACCAGGGCACATAATAGCACAATATAAAAGGCAGGACAGGAAGGCCATAAAACCAGCAGGTGATCGAAATATGACAAGGATCTCTCCGAGACTGTCTGGGGACGCGCGCGCTGTCAGTCAACGTTGCTAAAATAAACTCTCAGCAACAGGATATGTGAAGAATCACAGTAAAAGGACAAATAATGTGAGAAGGGAAAAAAAAACCAGGGGTGAGCGAGGTGATGAAAGCATCCTCGACAACAACAACAATACAAGCAAACAACTTGCAGTGTAGAAAACAATTTATACAGAAACTGGACATGAGACCAAAATATGTAATTTGGATTCATTTAGCATTTTAATTGAAACATATCTAAACCTGAGGTCGTCTAGTCTGTAAAGAAAGCCAGCAGGCGAACAGCATCATCAATAACAAATGTATAATAGGTTTAATATTGCTTTTTCTACACTTGGTAGACTACAGGATGTGGGAAATGTGGCATTAATGTTTACATTTTTATCTTTTTTTATTTTGTAATTTTACTCAGTTTCATTGTCAAACTAACCAACATGAATAAAAAATAAAACAGCTTCTAAAATTGACCCAGTTTCAAACATCTCTGGTGTTACTGAGAGTATTCAAAAAAACATATATTGTCTAAAGCCCAACCGATGTATCCCTCAACCAATATAATCAACAGATATTGGCCCGTGTATTAACATGCTGTCAAATATGTTAGCGACATAAAAACTGTTTTGTTCATCAGAGCAGCTCTGATGTTCTTGTTTGCAATATTCTCAGCACTGTGTGCAGCGCATGTAGCAGAGTGTATCACAGCTGAGCAGACGGCGGTGCGGAGTCAAGTGGTGTCCTTATGGTAACATGCTAATTAAGTTCTGCATAACGCTGCCTGGAAGTTACAACAATGACCTCATCGTTTCCCCTTCAAACTACATATTTCCAGTAATCCTTTAAGTTTACTGATTGTTGCTGCCTTATATCTAATTAATGTAAACTGGATATGAATATTCTTACCGATTGAGAAAGACAGAGCCAGTGGCAGATCCTACGAATACTGTAACCACATTTATATTCTTTTTAGCAGAGTGAAAGAGGATTTTTTTTATCCGTGTCCAACTGAGTATAAAAGAAGCAGCCACTGCAGCTGAAGCCTAAGCTGCTGTGTCTGACCTGTGGTTAGCCTGTCCAACATCAGCAGCACCTGTCAGCTGGAGCCACTTCATATTTCTGATAGAGCTAACTGAAATACTTTTTTTTTTCTTTTTTAACCTTAAACTGTGTAATTGAGTTGCTGCTGAAGTCAAGTCACACTGCTGATAATTCCAGAGAAAATGAAACATCCAGCTAGGGTGAGTTATGTATTACATCTTTTAGAATGAAAATGTAGTCTGATATGTGGGGGCTAGTTATGTCTCACTTCACTGTGTGGAAGTAGATTATCCAACAGTCTTCAGACTGACCCAAGAGCCACCACTTTGCTCCTAACTATTGATTTTGCAGGCGGGTAGAGTCAGAAGGACGTATTACTAGGTGAGGCCTTGTGCGTCTCTGGAGCTAAAACACTGCCCATGCTCCATTATTTAAACCTGCTGCACAGGTCAAGGGATCAGGTCGCTCAGATCTCTTTGCTCTCTGCCCTCGTGTTGCCTGAGCCGGCTGCTGCGCTACCAGGAAAACTCAGCTATGTCTTCATTGAAAGGTCAAGAGCAGCCCGCCAGCTTAGAAGAGGCAGTTACACTCAATCAAACTGAAACGCACAACAAGAACACTTCTTTTTAAGAGGCTGGCAATATTATGGTTATCTAGTGATGTGTTTTTCTAATCCTGAAGTGCGTCGAGGCTCACGGCTAATATATTCTAGCACTGTAAGAAATAAATATATATGAGCATTAGTGGTTAATCCGAAAATGATTGTATTCACAGCTATCTAACTTTCAGTTACCCTCTGACCCGGAGGGAATTGAAGGCTCTAATGGCTAATTAACCCCATGTCACCTGAGTGAAACACTATTAAACATAAATCAATTACTTTTGTGCTTGATTGGCCCCATCAACAGACTGTGTAAATATTGACACCCATGACAGAGTTGTAATACAGAACTAGTCAGCACAGCGACCCAGGTGTGGAAAGTGTGCAGGAATGCACCTGAGCCAATATGTACAATTATGGAATGCATCCCTGTTTAATTACGTTTAAACAACGGACGGTGTTGTTACTTGTGTCAGCGACAAGAGCAGTACACAGGTATGTGGGATTTTGTTTGAAAAGAAAAGGCAAAGAAAGCAGCCTATAGGTTTTTGTAGAGGGATACTGCTGTTTGTGTGCCGCTGTGCCCTGCTTTGACAACATCTGTATTCTGACAGCGCCTCCTCTCTCAATCTAGATCTAACTGCCTGCAGCCTCTGCCACACAGGAGCTGGAGGGGGGAGCTGAGAAGAATACTTACAAGCCTCTACCGCTGTGTTCGAACCAGACACACACACACTTTCACAGTATATCCCTGCCAAGTCAAGCATTGTGGTGTGGCAGGAGGAGCCTCGGGAGTCCAACAGCCAAATGTGTCCTCTAGCATTAATGGCTGCTTCAGCTGACTGAAGGGGGAAAACACCTTGAAGAATCATACATCTGAACAGACACTCGCCTCCGTCTAGGGACAAACTGATTGACATTCTCAGAAGTCTTGCTAAACACGCCTGCCCTCTAATACAGAGCGCACATACTCAGATTGACTGCCTATCCTTGGTTCTGCTCTGAATTATACAGCAATAACAACACAGGGAAGAATATCGATGGTCATGGACAGGCATTGTATCTGGTATACTGAGATTTATTTATTTATTTTAAATGCAGGGCTTGAAGAAAGTGTTGTGCTCAACTAAGTTTTTTTTTTTAATTTTATTTTCTTTTTTTAAGAAAATGAGATTCAAAAATAAACATACTAGGTTACTGAGATGTCACCAGTATTTTTCTCTCCTTCCATTCGCTATCTCAGATCATTCTTTCCAGGCCCTTTGAAGGCTTCCACTGCTCAGTGTTGAGATTGCTTGAGTGAAAATCATGCTGAGCATGCATTGGCCCCTATCCAAAGATCGTCATAGGTGTTATAAACTCCTCAAGCAATGAATCTGAACTGCAGAAATAGAAAAAAATATTTCTGAGCATGAGCTCGGATAAAGGCATAAACCGAGGGCAACTATTTTCCTTACTAAAGTGCTGCTTTAGATGTGTCCCACTAAGCCAAACAAAATCAAAGTCCTTCTTTAAGAAAATCTCACTGTTAAATGGCAGCTGAAGTTACCACTTAATATACTGCTCAGAATCCGTTTTTATGAGAAAGCCAGAAAATCACAGCCGAGGCTTTTATGTGCACAGACTGGAGGGCATGGACTGCAGTTCAACTATGAAATCAAGTATGACGGCAAATTAGCAACTAAAGGATTTGAGGCTCTTAGAAAACAATCCACCATTGCTTTTATATTGAATTACTATTTTCAAAAAGGTGGAAGAAATTTACATTGATAAAAGCCTGTGTAACAATACGTACTGGAGAGCCAATCTGACTAAATAAACCACTCTCCAATTATTAATCAAATGTTATGCAGCTAAGCTTCCACTTGCATTCTCACATGTAACTTTGATTTGTGTGCTTGTTTAACCTTGTATGAGAGGCTGCTGAGCCACAAAAAAACAGGTTGTGCTCAAGCATGAAAACGTTCTCTCTGCATCTGAATATCTTATAAGCACTGAGATTTGAATTATCTGTGCGAACTTTTCCACTCGGTCACAACAAATTAGGCACAACTACCAGTCTTTATAAATGAAACAGTGTTTAGACAGTCAAACAGTTGGACTTTGTTTTTTCTCAAAACTTTGTCAGCTATTTATTCACGCAAAAGCCTTTCACAAGTTTAAAAAAGAAAGATAATTAGCGTATTAAATATGTTCAAACTGTGATTAAGACATCGAGGCACATTTAAATTCCACTTCAGATAAAAATAACAAATCGTAGCAACAGTGTATGATACTGTAGATAATTCCTGATCTCAGTGTGCTTGGATTCTTGATTTCCATAGTCAACACATCAGCATAACACGAATAAAAAGGAGTAGGGCTTATCTTTCAATAACACAGCAAGAGAAAAAAAAAGTCAACATCTCTGCTGCCACCAGTATCTGAAAGACAGGAGGCTTCAGTTTTAGCTGTAACCCTGCGCCTGCAGCTCTCCAGATATCAGCAGAGAGGCTGCTGCAGCTCTGCACTGTCTCTGTTGTCGTGGGCGATTGGAATGGACATGTGTACTCTGTTGAAGGCCCGTAAACAAGATTTTCAGCATAGCACTGGCCGGGCCAGGTTGACAGAATGGTCTTATCTGATCCCATACCAAAGAGAGGCAATAGGACAGACCAGCCAAGCTCCCTTTGAGCCACAGATAAGAAGATGCTAAGGGGAAGTGGAGAGGAGACACAGACAGCTCCCAAAATGGACACTTTCACAGTTAATACTCGTCTTTTTGACACTTGCTGCTTTGTATTTTTGAGGTCTGTATCCTTCCTGTGCATTTTTCTGTTGACGGCGTCTACCCAGAATGCCTCTTTCCTCGGTGGTGGGATAGAATTCAAACCTGCCACGCCCACAGTTTCCACAAGTGGATGATTCCATTTCCATACGTGTTGCTAGGTATAGATTCTTCTCATTCTTAAATGATTCATTGTCAATATTATTACTTCTTAAACTTGTGTTTTAAAGTCAGTTTATGGTGTGAAAGCACCTTACCTTATCCTTCCCCTGTTTCTCATCTTGATATACACTCCACCGCTCTCCATCGTTACTGTAGGCCAGTTTGTATGAACCAACAAACTGGACATGACCAAAGTCTTTAGCGCCCTGGGTGATGATCCCCGTAACCTTGGTTGGCACGAGCAAATCCACCTGAGAGACACAAAGGCAACAGATTAGGATGATGCATTACTCAGGAAACTTAGCAGGTAAAAAAAAAAAGTGTCAGATATGCTAATCTACACAATCTAGTCAGCATTTTTAAATTTATTTATTTGTCCCGATGTCATCAGAGGATTTACTGTTATAAAGACACTGGGTGCAAGTCAAGTCAGTTTCAATTATTCACAGAATATTGAACAACAAGGCTAAGTCCACAACCTCGCCTCAGCAAAACAGAAATTGCACGCTGCAGCAGCTTCTGAGACCCACACTGCTCCATTTGGGTTAATTTTTAATAGGATCTCATTTGTTGCAAACAATTTACTGCGCAAAGGTTCTCGGCAGTAAATACACAAACTGTTACTTTTATTGACATTTTAGCGTTCAATTATGCTTCATTACTTTAAAAAGTGCCCGGCACCGTTGAGAAAAAAAAAAAAAAAAAGAAGTTAAGCCCAGCCCCAGAATGCGTGAAAACAAGACTACCTGGCTCACTGCGCATCAAGGAGAACATACTCTGCAATTACCTATGTCTAAAAGGGGTCAAGCTTTTTCCTCAGAAAAAATTTCCACCATGGTAATTATGTCAAATAAATAATGCATGAGAACAATCCAAAGTAGAAGTTAAGTGGACGGTACTGTCTACCAACATGGGCAATACAGTGCAGGGCTAAAACAAAACTCATCCTGTAATGGAAGATCAAAGGTAGTCTTATAAAATAAATGTGATCCTTCAAAAGCATAAAGCAGCAAACTGTATGAGCTTATACCACACAGAGGTAATTTCACATCTCTGTTGTACTTTAAAACAGGATTTATTGTTGTTTTTGTGCACAACAACAAGCATTTAATACTTCTATATATCAAAATACATGAGAAATTAAAAGTATGAAAGTGCCATAACTTCCCAGTGAGTCACTGTCGTCGAAGGCGCATCTCGTTTTATAATCAAGATAAACCATAAATAATTAATAGGACTGCCTGGTGATATTAATAGCCTAAATGTCACTGTAAAACTGTCTTACTTATCACATACATCAATGCAGCACCAATTTGCCATCAATACAGGATGAAAAACGAGCTCACACTTGGCATTTTGCTGTGACATAGATAGCGGCGAAATTTAGCAGCACGTACAGAGCGTGAGAGAAACGTGAGCACATAGATTTATTTCCGCTGCTGAATATGCTGTACACAACGCTGAGACAACTATACATCACGCTAATTGGCTGGTCACAGGCCAACATATACTGTGTTTCACTGCTCTGACAAAACAAAATAGCACCTCTGGTAGATCAAACAAATAAGCGAGCAACCTAATGCATGCGCTACGGCGCCGTCTCATTTCACTTCCACTGACAAACTGCAAAAAGACTGCAGCGCATCCTGACACTGAATACTTTTGTTACCCGAAACAATTATTTTTTATTGAGCGGTGATGAGTTCACTCAAGAGTTCTCATCTCTCATAAGGTTTCAGCGATGCTCGAGAGCTTTTCTTCTTTGCCAGCTGCTTTAAGATTGAGGACAGCTCCCTGGATATTATCGAGGCCTTTCCTAAATGCTGACATCCTGCTGTGTACATAAGCAGGCATAGATCTGCGTCCTGACACACATGTAGACAAAGCCTTCGCTACAACAAAGCAAACTCCTCGCTCTCTAAAAGGCATCCGAGTGCCTCCCACTTCTCCATTTGTGAGATGTTAAGCTAATGAAAGTAGGACAAAAGTTTGCGTGTCGACATCATTTCATCCTTAACGATGCCGTGGTTACAGGTATGCAATTATGCAGATGCTGCACACTATGTATGCACGCTTCATTTGTTGTGAATACACTATTCATGAAGTTTCACCTTTAAATGACTTCTGCCTATGCTTCCATTTTAGGGCTCACTGCTGTTTCTGAATGCAGGTGCAGCAGCAGCAGCAGCATGGACTATCTTTCCTGTGATGTATACGAACGCCTTTAAACAACAGCCCAAATTTAATGACAATAACGTCACAACAAACCCTCCGGATAAAGGGGCCAGAGAGAAATGGCGGCAGGGGCTGCTCGGTTGATTCAGAGGGCCATGACACTTCGCATTGTGAGGCTTTGATTATGCTCCAGTTGCAGAACATTGAGGTAATCTCGTTCTACCAAAGCAGTCAAGTCTGCCACCAAAACAAAGGCATGCTTGAAGGGGAACCTGTAATTGCTGTCACAGGTAGCGGTCAAAAAATACGACCGCCCCTAGTGACGCCAGCTCTCAACACTTTGATGGCCCAAACTGAATTAGGGAGCGAGATAAGCTTGTTAAAGCAAGGCCTCTCCTCGAGCCCCCACCGTCTGTTCTTTCTTCCATCACACTCTCAACCCTGCTTCCTCCTCCATGAGCTTTTAACCCAGACAAACGAGGAAGTGTGTGAAGTCTTTGTAGCAATCTCTGAACGCTTGTGGCAAAGATGTTCCGAAGAAATGAAACACAAGAATCAATTTCGGCATTTTGCTTGCTGTGTCTGAGATTACAAAATAAGATTCATAAGGCTCTAATCTGAGCTCCCCAAAATACATTAAATAAAAAAAAAAACACACACCGAAAAGGGAGACAGGGTCAATTCCTTTATTTGTACTTTTTCTTTGATGAGCTGCGTACGAAGGAGCGACGTTTTGTGCACTTCTGCCACTGAAGCACTTATCTCTGCTGCTCATTAAGACGGGAGTTGGTGTGTAAATCACATGTCCCTATTTGAAGTGGGTTTGCCACTGCAGGATAAAGAGATTAATGCAGTGAGAGGCGGTTTTATAAGGAGCCGAATGAGGCCCGATTTCCAATTTTCTGAACACAGTGCATGAATATAGTAACCCGCTAACATTCTCCCTCCAGCTGTGCTGATTTAAGTGTACGTGATGAGGACGCATTTAATCTTCACAGTCTGAGGGAAATGTGTGTGTGTGATGCATATTTTCTATATATTCACTATGCCGAATTCTGAACTGAGTACACACAACTCACGGAGCAATGAAGAGGACAGTACTACGGTCCATCAACCCCACAACAGGGCGGCTATCATTAAAGCCTAAATCTGTGGTAAGAGCCTGTAAATATCCTATTTCAGAGCTTTTCTCTCACCACAGGAAGCCTTGATAAACCTATGGCACGCCTGCTTACTTAATCATACATTGAAATCCTTAAAAATGTAAACGTCACTTGATCATGCTTCACATGAATCGCTCGCCATATCTCCACAACACATCGCATTAAATCAGCACAAGGTCTGGTAAAGGCTTCTCAGAAGACCAGGACCACGTTGAGATAAAATCATTTTGAGTGGTATTAAGCTCAGGTAGTGTTTACACAGAGGAAATCAAACGTGTAACATAATTAAGAACGAATGAAGAACTCTATTCCACGTGTCAGGCAAACTGACAGCCCAACGTGCAGGTTTTCATGAACCGTACAGGCACGCAGGAGATATCAAAGTCACTGTCTGTAGACTGTCAATACTTTTAATTCATTATTTCTTTTAAACCCGTCGAGGATCGGGCTTTGGAGCAGTTTCACAGGCTTTGGGGCGCCGGGTGCTGCACACTGACTGCCTTCCTCGGAGGGTTTGAGCTCCCAGTGACAAGGGCTATACCACAACCATCAGAGAACGGGACACCGTACTGCAGACCAGAATGCACACTAGGGCTGCCACTACAGCTTATGTGTTTCTCCTCAGGTGTTCACGCTGCGCTGCTGTGTTAAACTCTGCACAGTGTAAAAAAAACAAAACACACCTTTTTGTTCTGTGACCATTTGAAGTACTCCCGTACTTTTGAAGCCTTGGGTATTTGGAAACTTTCATAAAAACCCAACTGGACTCGGCTGGCACTGTCATCGTCTAAAACTGTTGCACCAGCTGCAGCTGACCAGTGACTCATGACCGTCATGAGGTAGAAATTACGCAGCAATGCTAAAGAAAGAAACATATGTAATGACGAACTGAAGCACAAAAAAACACGGATGACATCGACTACTCGTGGCAGCTCTAGTTTACACAATGGGGAAGACCCATTTAAAACCTGATCATCAGACTGGAGTGACTCACGTAGTCATTTACAACCTCTGTAAAGAGACCGGTACTTATCGCTGGATATGTAATGTGCTTCTGCGGTGACACAATTTGAAAATAGCCATCCAATGTCAAAGTGTTATATTCATTCATATTGTACAGAGTAAACACAGGAGACACTGTGAATGTTTGCAATATGCCCCTTTTAGTTAACATGTAGGTAAATAAGGAAATCTGGCCTGACTGGGGCCCATTTGCGTGAGCTTTTCCATGAGCTATCAGATGTGGCTGCTGTATGAACACCACATGTAAAAGCACGTTATTATCTGGTGCTGCAAACCTACATAACCACCCTCCATGAATGCCCCCAGAACACACCAAGATGAGGGATGAGGCTGCAAGCAGACAATTTTCAGACAAATGGCTGACTGAGTACAGCACTTCTGCACTGAGTTCAAAGAAAAGCCTGTTTGTGTCATGATACCTTTTTCTGAGTTTAAAAATACACGATTGCCCAGATGAACCAGGGGTTGGAGTCTCTAAGCGTAAAAAAAAAAAAGTGACATGTTTTTACGAGTGTAAAAGCAGAAGGTGCCACTGCCAAGAAAGCAAAAAAAATGAAAATACATACATACTCACAGTTGCAATCAGCAATCAAGCAGCCCAAATAAATTACGCTGAAACTTGCATTCATTAATTGTGTTTGTTTTGTCCATTACTGTAGCAAACAAACAGCCAGGAGCTCTTTAGAAACTCTGCCTGTTGGACAAAGAACCCTAATGACTTATTAAAAAGTAAAATCTAGAGTGCTGATTATAAATAGCTGCAGGTCAAAATGAAAAAAAAAAAAAAAAAGAAAAAGAAAAACAAGAGAGGGAAGAAAGTTTCTTACGAGCGAACAGCTTGTTCATAGCCAAATTTAAATGTGTTGAGAAAGCACACCTTTACACCTTTA